CCTTACCCTAAAACCTCTCTTTTTCCCTCTTCCTTACCCTCTCCCCTCTCCTTATCCTCTCCATCTCCCTTTCCCTCTTCCTCTTCCTCTTCCTCTCCCTCTTCCTCTCCCTCTCCCTCTCCCTCTCCCTCTCCCTCTCCCTCTCCCTCTCCCTCTCCCTCTCCCTCTCCCTCTCCCTCTCCCTCTCCCTCTCCCTCTCCCTCTCCTCTCCCTCTCCCTCTCCCTTTCCCTTTCCCTTTTCTCTCCCTCTCCCTCTCCTTCTCTCTCCTCTCTCTCAGAAGGAAGGAAGCACATTCGAGGCTCTGGGCACCGTGTACCTGAAGGATATGATCCACTTCTTCACCGTCGGAGGAAGCAAATCCAAAGAATCCTTTTTGATTTTTGTGGATTCTCAACGGGAGCAGAGACAGAGTGAGTTTTGTGGGATTTGTGAAGTTTTTTTTTGTGTCTCTCTTTCCTTGTGTGTGTGCGTGAGTGTGTTTATGTATGGGTATATATTATCTACATGTGTGTATAAGCATATATATATATATATATATATATATATATATATATATATATATATATATGTATATATATATATATATTCATATAAGTGTATGTGTATATATGTATATGTATATATATATATATATATATATATATATATATATATATATATATATATATATATATATATATATATATATATATATATACATATATATATACATATATATATATATATATAATATGTATTGACACACACACACACACACACACACACACACACACACACACACACACACACACACACACACACACACACACACACACACACACACACACACACACACACACACACACACACACACACTCACACTCACACACACACACATCAATATATGTATGCGTACACACACACATACACACACGTGTGTGTGTGTGAGAGTGCGTGTATGTATGAATGTATATATACATGCACTAAGTAAGGCATTGGCTTATATGTTGTTTATCACTTTGCAGGCGAGGGTGATGGTCAGACTGGCAATACTTAACGGTGATGGGCAAACGGCAGATGCTTTGTAGTGGTGGTATCGACTTTGTTATTTTTAGCATTCTGTTTGAGTAAAATGTTATATTGTTTTTCTTCATCTGTTACTTCTAAATGGCTTATTCCAGTCTTCTTGTAAAGGAATTTCCCTTGACTGTGAATCTGAAGAAACTATAATTCTTTAGCCTTTTTTCAGTTTTACACTAAAAAAGAATGAATCTACCCTGGCTTGTTGTACAGCTGGTGGAATGAATTCGCGGTCACCCTAAATTTAAAGAGCTGAGATGTTATCTGGTAACACTGTATTGCATTCAAATGGGACAATATGAATCCAGTTGTTGAATAAACAAAGTGAAAAAATCAGCAAACTTTGCTATTCATATTTCAATAATTTAGATAAAATGCATAAGAAAGAATATGAAATAACAGGCATTCCATTTCTTACTTTTTTGTTCGAATGTTCTCTCAGCTTTATCCGTTACAGCTTGAAACTTGCTTAAAGGTGAATGTCATGAAATATGGATAATAATAATGAAATAAAATCATTTAGATAAACATAGCAGTATGATGTATTTGGTATATGTTTATAGTTGATTGCCATTTAACCTAAATGTGTTTGCCCGAAGAGCAAAAACATAATATATTCATTTGTTCTCCCTTATTCAGTCATGAAACGGTTGTGTAACGTAAATCATTTCATGTAATTCATATAAAACAGCGGTTAGTAAATATGCTAATTTCAGTTAGATGCTGCACTGATTTACCCTAAACTATTATGTTATGTTGAAAATGTTATGGAACATGAAAGGAAAAATGATATTGGTAATGTAATATTTTTTTGGTAATTATATTTTTGAAAGGCTGAAACTTTTGGCGGGAAAGTGTCTTATCACGTTTTCCCGCGCTTATTTGTCAGAAAAATATCAGCTGTTTTCTTCCAAAAAGTTGACAGTGCCCGAGTATGTCTAAATTACATGGAACACAATCATATGTAATTCATAATACACAGAGGATCATGACAGAACACGGGAGAACAAATAAACACGTACGAATAATATCTTTTTTGTTCAGATGAGCGATGAAGGCAAAATGGTAATTAGGAGAGGCATGTCTACGCAGAAGACGGGTTATATCATATGTTTATCTATTTTTATCTTATTTCATTTTAATTTTGATTTTAGATACTAAGATGGAAAAGGTAAAACTTTCCCTAGACTCTTAACAACATTGTATTTTTTTACAAGGGATGTTATTTCTTAATGCAATACATTACCAGATAAAAGTCCAGCTTAACAACCTTTAGATGACTGGGATTTAATAAGATAAATAAGCTAATAGATAGATAATAGGTTATATATGTGTGCGTTCGTGTGTGTATGTGTGTATATATACATCTATATATATATATATATATACATATACATACATACATACATACATACATACATAAACATATAAACGTATGTATATATGTACTGTACTTATGTCGGTCACTAGTATGCGCGTGTGTGCCATCCATATTGCCCGCGAAAGAAACGACCACAAGATACAAACGGCCATGTGTTATTTTTTTCATCTAATTTCCCAGATATGAAAAGCGCCCGGAGAGTAATTTTGAGTACTGGGGTCTCATCACGGTCACAGCCGTCTTGTTGATGGTCATTGCAGCGTATTCCATTAAGAAGGTAATTATTTTGTCTTTATTTCTTTTTTTACCGAGAGAAAGAGAGAGAGAGAGAGACATCGAGAGAGAGAGAGAGATACAGTGACTGAGTAAGACAGAGAGAGAGTATAGACACATGCTAATAGATAGACTAGATAGGATGTGGTGCAGTGGTGTGTATGTATATATATGCTATATATATATATATATATATATATTATATTATATATATATATATATAATATATATATTATATATTATATATATATATAATATTAGATAACATATATATATACATATGTATATATATATATATATGCATATAATATGTGGCATATGTATAGTATATATATATATATATATATATATATATATATATATATATATTATATATATATATTATGTATATATATATATATATATATATATATATATGCTAATATATATATATATATATATATATATATAATATGTATATATGTGTGTGTGTGTGTGTGTGTGTGTGTGTGGTGTGTGTGTGTGTGTGTGTGTGTTGTGTGTGTGTGTGTGTGTGTGTGTGTGTGTGTGTGTGTGTGTGTGTGTGTGTGGTGTGTGTGTATATATAAACATTATTATATATACAAGTAATTATATTATATTATATATATATATATATATATATATATATATATATATATATATATATATATATATATATATATAATATAGACAAGTAATATATAAATAATTTCGGACTGCATGTATTCTAGACCCTCATCCCTCTCTTCAGGGCAAGAAGTACTGCTCCGGGAAGAACAAGAGACGGCGCTCCCGGCAATTCACTGGCGGGAATTTCGTGTTGGTCGACGACTTCGAGAACTTTGGGAAAACGGTTTACTTCGTGGAGAGAGGGAAGCCGCCCACGAAGCCGTCCAAGGAAGGAAATGAAACCGAAATGCTGCCAATTACGGTCCTTTCTAAATATAAAGGCGATAGTAAATAGTCTGGGGGGGAAAAGAATGCTTTTCATTATCCACAAACCTTGTGTTCTTGATAAGAAAATGGTATCCGAAATTAAATTATTTAAGAACTTGCATCACTGAAAATGTTATTAAAAACTAATTTTAAACACTAGTGATAGGCGGAGAATGTTTTCTTGTGCCTGAAAAATAGTAAAAATATTGGTTTATTCCATTTCTTAGTGGTTATTCTTATATTATCGAGATCAAGATTATGTTCGGTGTAACAAACTGTCTCTACATTTTTGCTTCTAAATTACCCAAGAAATAGCCAGGGCTACCATCCACTGGCAATGTGAAATTTAATCAAAGGTCAACAAAGTAGATGCGAACACTACAATTATATAATACGCTGCATACAATGGTTAGTGGTTAATGGTTAAAAGCAAAATAAATGTACCAGACATCTAAGGTCATATAGCTCTATCGGAAAGTATAGTAAAAGTGGTGACGGGTGATAGTTGCTATGCCTCAACTATCTAAATCTTGAAAGGTTAAAGATGGGTAAATGAGTTTAGTGAATGGGTTATTGTGGTTTACGTAAAGGAATTTGATCAAGTGAAGGATATGTAAGTGTCTGAGAAAGCAGAACAGGTTGTCAAAGCAGAAAGTAGATAATGGATGGATTATAAGAAGAAAGGATAACCCTGCATACAAAAGAAATACTAAAATCACACTTGCTGAAGAAATTAGTGATCTCGATTGCCAAAAGTGTCCAGTCTACTTCATCAGCAACAGCAGGTGAAAGTAGTTTCTTCAGAACATTCAAACATCAATTCACACATTTCATTTCAGGTATATCAACCAATGAAAGCTGAGGGAGGCAGTGTAGAATTCTTTATTGATTGGCTACTTGTTACAAAAAAGTCACACTTTATCCTGTCTCTGTCAAGCTTGTTTCTTTTTTTCTCCAAACTTGATATGCTAAAAAAAAGAAAAAAAAGAAAAATAGTGTTGCTTTAATAGTCAGACTGCAGCTGGTTAACTTCAAACTTCCCTATACTACTGAATCACCAACAAAACACAAACAACCCAACCCTATGACTGACCATTCCGTTCTGTGTTTCTATTTTTCGTGATATATGCTTACACCTCACTGCTCTTTTTTTTTCTTTGATATATACATCCGTGGACTAAAATATAGACGTCGATGTAGTAATCTCTGTGTAATCTCAAACCACATTATTCTGTAAGAAATCATAAAAATCCTTCATTTAAAAATACCAGTAATACCTTGGATGGATCAGTAATCTGACTAATAATCACTGTTACCAAAAAAAAAAAAAAAAAAAAAAAAAATACTGCT